AGAAGTGGGTGCGGGATTCTCATTGCTGCTATAGTTGTCAGACCCGCGTGGGTCCATATTTAATATTTTTTTAATTAAAATTAGGATATTTGAGAGAAAATTATTTATATTTTGTTATTTTCTTGTTTTGACAGACTTTAGCTATTGTTTTTGTGCTTTGGAAACTCTCTATTTTTTTTATTTTTCAGAGCATTATATTCTGTTTCTTTTGCAAGTGTTGTGTTTGTATATTGCTCAAGAACATGCGGATTTCTTCTTGCCGTCTGTATCTTTTCGTTGTTCCATCGTTAGACTCGCTGTTTTCCACCTGGACAGCTGCCAAACGCCTCTTCTCCCCTTCCAAATACCGTCAACCTCCCATAGTCTCATTCCCTTGCCATTTCACAACCACCTCCTTGCTAAATTCTCTTCCTAAACACCTTCTAGAAGCCCTAATATATTTTCAGATTTGATATATTGCTGTGAATTGCCTTGTTCTTGGTCTTCTATTGAGCTTATCTGAACTGATGCATTTAATATAAATTAGTTTAAATGTTTAGTTCTTACTCTTTTTATTGAGAATGTTCAATCTGTTCTTTAATTCCAACAGGTGTTAAAGTTGTAGAAACTCAAGAGAATGAACTACTTATTGAGCCTAGACTTCGATGGGCTGGTAATTGCAATGTCAACGTGGCTCTAAAACTGTTTTCCCTTAAATTCAATGCACAGGTAAGCCACTAAACGATATGATAAAACGGACAGTGCGCTCCTATGAATTTACATATCTAACACCTTACCTATGCATAAAAATTTGCATTTCACTTAAAGTTAAATTGATGGCATTTTTTATGCGAAAAGAAATATTTTAGTGGTATTAATGCAAAAAGTAAAGTTTTAGTGTTAGATATGTAACTACATAAGAATTGTGTGGTTTGCATGTAAATGTCCTTAAAAAGGCCTAATCTTTGAACCATTTTTCGAATTTTTTATAGTTGTTGGATTTACAAATATTCTTGGCACCTCGTATTACTCTAAAGCCACTTGTTCCAAGTTTCCCATGTTTTTCAAGCATAAGTGTTTCTTTGGTGGAAAAGGTAATTATACTAGGAATGGTTTTTTGCTCAAGTGAACATTTTTAAATCTTTTTTCCAAATAATTTTTCATTTTTCTGCTTCTTTATTGCAGCCTTATCTTGACTTTGGACTCAAACTACTTGGGGCAGACATCATGGCCATTCCTGTATTATATCGCTTTGTTCAGGTCTTCAAACTTCCATAATCTACATTAATCTGGGAAGCATAGTATTCGTTGAAGTCTGGCATGATTATTTTTGTTTTCTTACTATTAATTCTAGAAAATAAGTTTTTAACATACTTCAAAATTGGACTGAAACTAACCATAATCTATATGAAATTTTCTTTTAAGGACAAAATTGCTTCCGAAATTTCAAAACTCTACCATTGGCCTAAAGATTTGGAGATAAAAATTCTGGATAATGCTAGGTAATTCTCACCATCTAGAATTAGGACGAGTTTTTTCTCCTTCGCTTTTGTTCTCAATGAGTTACTTCTTGTAGCTCAACTTTGTATGAAATTTTGTTCTTTAAGAATAAATGCTTTTACTAGATGAGCATAACTTAATTTCTATCTTTTTTATGTAAATTGTTCGAGAAGTTACAAGTTGCATGCTGACATTTATTTAGAATGAAGTGCTAAAATAGTCTCTTGGTTATTTACACGGTGTTATTTTAATCCAGAGTTTAAAAAGTGTTAAATTAGTCCCCAGGCTTTTTTAATGGACTATTTCAAGCCATATTAGTAGAGTCTGGGACTAAATAGACACTTTTATAACTATGGAATTAAAAATGTCATCTTGCAAGAATTCTGAGGACCATTTTGACGCAGTTCTCCATTTATTTATTAGTTCAATCAGTTGTCAACTTATTGCATGATTTTTTTTTAACTTTGTGTTTTCAGCGGTGCCACGAAGAAACCTGTTGGAATACTACATGTGAAGGTCGTGCGTGCGCTAAACCTCTTGAAAATGGATATCCTCGGTAAATCTGATCCTTACGTGAAACTAAGTTTGAGTGGTGAAAGACTGCCATCCAAGAAAACTTCGGTGAAGATGAGCAATCTTAACCCTGAATGGAATGAGACTTTCAAGCTTATTGTGAAGGATCCTCGAACCCAAGTTCTTCAGCTACATTTGTTTGACTGGGAAAAGGTTTAGCTTCCTGTTGACCTCTTTGTCTTCTTCTAAAGGCATCTTTTTGCATTCAAATTGTTTTAAAATTTAGAGAAATTTGCATATGTAGCACACATTTCTCATGTATTTACATATCTCACACCTAAACTTTTATATTTACATATATAGCACTTTGGCGCTTTACCTAGTGCATGAAAATGTGTATTTCACTTTTAAAAATTACTAAATAATGCTATTTTTGATGTGATATTAAAGATTTGGGTGCTCTGTGTGTGAATATGAAAGTAGTGTGATATATGTTGTTATTTTGACCCCCAATTAATTAACTAAGGTAAAAGGGCAATTTTGTAATGTGGTATCGCTCACCTACCACATCTCACCAACCGTTCACCTACCGCTCACCTACCTCCCACCTAC